GGATCGTCGTCTGAAGCGGTGCGTGGGTTGAAAATAGGAATCCAGCAGACAAGAGTCCAGTTGTTCGCGTCAGAGTCCTTGTGGGGTCCGTTGTGGAAGTTGTACATGGTGAACGTGAGGAAGGAGGCAAAATCCAGAGCGTCGTAAGGCAAGGGATATTCCATATGAGCCATGGATGGCAATTTTTTGCTGATAAGGGTTTCGCGGTATGATTCGAAGACACCTGGGGCAAGATGTTGGAGTTGGATTGCAATGAAGTCACTGGCTTCTTTGATTGAGGTAGCTTCGTCTCGAGGATTGTAGTTGGCCCGACGCATCATCTTCACGAGTTTACCAACAGAGCAATAACGTCCAAAGGATTCTTTCTTTGAGCACTTACGCCATCCATCAGCCCACATATCTCCCGCCATTTGTGGCCCGTTGTTCTTGACAGCCTCGACGTAATTGGTCCGATCAAAGAAGTGGCAGACAAGCTTCTCCCAACCTTGAATCTGTTCAGGAGACATGGAGGCGAAAGGAACATATTTAACCTTGCAGAAGGCTGGCCCACCTCGAGGTGCAGCAATGCAAGTACCGTGAGTGAGATGGTGATAGTGCTGGAGGGTCTTTTGAGTGGTGATTACTTCAGAGGGATTGGGGTCAAACTGTTGGTGAGGGGGAACAAAATAGAAGTAGACATGTTGTTCTTGATTTTTTTGGCTATGTTTGTTGTTGTTGGTGGTGGGATCAGAGTCAGGAGCATCGTGGGTCTCAGCATCTTCAGTTCGATTGATTGAAGACGATCCTTCAAGCGGCGCAGATGCTTTCTTTTTATTCAACGCCCAGCGCTTAATATCTTTCCCTGGGCGCACTCTTTTCTTGGATGAAGTTCTGTGGGAAAGCAATTATTAAGGGTTAGTTTATCTCAGGTTTCATGGGAAGAGCAGAGGGGCCATGGTTGATCTTGATGTGGAAAGTACCGGGTCTGAATAGATGCTCAGTCCTACAGGAACCACTCCACATCACAGATGGTATGGTAATCAGTCTACCTTAGAAAGATCAGCCCGGTCCGAATAGATGCTCAGTCCAAGGGCATGATCAGTCTTCAGTAGACTTGGTATTGGACCGACAGGGGGAGATACTGGTTGGTGTATTTCTGGAGGATCAACCGGGCCTGAATGGATGCTCAGGCCAACAGCATTGATCCCCTGAAAAAAGACCCAGAAACTAGGGGGAGGAAAGGATCGGGTGCTCACCTGGTCTCCCCACCAACAATAGAGCGATTGTCATTGCTGGTAACGGGTGTATCAGGCTGCGGTTGTGATTTTTGGGTGTTGTTGTGCATGCTGGTTGAGATGGTTGAGTTTCAGTTTGTACATCAATCTGTGAAAATGGATTGATTGCTAATCAACCGATTGATTCGCTAATCGATTGCTCAATTGATAAGCGAATCAATCGCTCAATCGATTAGCAAATTGATCACTCAATCAATTAGCAAATCAATCGCTTGATCGAGTGATTGATTAGCGAATCGATTGAGCAATTGATTTGCTAATCGATTGAGCGATTGAGCAATTGATTAGCGAATCAATCACTCAGTTGATTAGCGAATCGATTGCTCGATCAAGCGATTGATTAGAGAATCGATCAAGCGATCAATTAGCAAATCAATCGAGCGATCGAGCGATCGATTAGCGAATCAATTGAGAGATCGATTGAGCGATCAATTGGAAGAATGAGAAGGACTTACCTGAGGCAATGGGAAAGGTCGTCCTACTTGTTGGATGTGATGGTCTACAGGAAGTGACAAGGAAGGGTTGCATGAGCTGAAGGGAGCGATGAATGTGTAGGAGGTGAGAAAGAAAACAAGAACTTACATAGTTGGTTGTTTGATTGATGAGGGCTTGAGCAACCAGTCAATCAATCAATTTGTCTATTGAATGAACAGTTGATGGATTAAGGAAAGCATGAAGGCATTCAGAACTCAGGGTGATAAGAGTGGAGCAACTCACAATAAGACTGAATCCAACTTGTTTTTTGTTTGAGGAGCCTGTTTAAGGAAATGATTGGTTGTATGAGATGAGTCAGAGGGGGAGGTGTTAGCAAGTGAGTCAGGAAGTGAGCAAGCTAGCAAGCAAAGAGGGAGTGAACACAGGTACCTGAATCTGTTTTTGACCAATGAAGATAGTGGTTGATGGTGAGGTTTGGTGCTGGCAAGCAAATCGGGGGGTTGTGTTGGGCTGGTTGAGGTTCGATTACGAAACATGAAGCAGAATTTTTTTTCTCCGAGTTCAAACCAACTCAAAAGGGGTTTGACTCAGCTGGCCCAAGCCTGCTGACCCCAATTTCAAGCCAACCACCAATGTGATTTGGTCCAGTTGAGGATCAATGTTCATGTAGTGAACACATCGCAAAATGCTTCACACAAATCATAATCCTTGCAGCACTATGGGGTGCATCAACATTAAATATGACCTTTAAACAACTCCACTAAAATATTCACAACAATCAAAGAGCATCACCACATAAAGGCTTGTACGTGATAAAATAAACCAAGGGGCTTTTTGAGGCTACTATACAGATACTTCAGAAGATTTATTGTTTCAACTAAAGGCTGCACCAAAACGGGGGATTGATCAATACACACAAACAACTGCAGAGATAAAGATGATTACAAAAACTACAGGTAGTGGCAAAAGTGTACCAGATAAAGAGAATTGCTGAGGAGTTTGTGAATCACACATATAGTGCATCTGTAAAGCAACAAATGAGAGTTCTCTTTACACTGATCAAGTGAAGGAAATGAGAATTATGGTGAAATTTTCAGCAGTAAACCATGCAATATTCTGCTAATTACAGAGTTGTGTAAAACTGCTGTCAGTGAAAGTGCCTCCTTGCAATTTATTGTAGTTTTGAAGATGGATATTGTAGACATCCCCCTGAGTGAGATTAGTCGGGCTGCAGGGTGAAAAATGGTGGATTCTTGAGAGTGAGAGGGAGAGTTTGCATGTGGTGATGCGAATTTTACTATCCTTCTTGTGGAAAGTTCAGGCAAAGAGAGATCTTGGATAGCTATAACATAAATAAACTGGGGTGATTGGTGTCAGCTTGTCTTAATTCCTCAAGAGACACTTAGAACTAATCGGGATGATATTTTGTGGTCATGACTGCAAACACTACTGCCCTATCATCCCATCATCCAACCAAAAAGCTTGAACTCAAGTTACTAATTTTGATTAGCACAAGAAAAACATATATTAGGCATGATGTGAGTTCCGGCCAGTCCAAATAATGAACCTGAACGTTTGGCATGGGGCCCATGAATAAAAAATTACAGTGTAATCCTTCTGTGGGAAGTGAATCATGCTGATTTGGGGCATCTTGTGTCTCAGTTGCTGGATACAAATAGGGATGATTTACCACATGTGTGGCCATCACAGATGTTTCAAATGTGAGGATACAGTGGTGATTTTTTGTTTCTTGTGTAGTTTGAGGAACACTTGGTTAATGATATGAATTTCCTACTGCTCCTTAAATTTTTTGAGTAGGAGACATGAGGTGAAGCTCACAGAGCAGAATGTATTTGTTTTCACACATGGTAGAGATGCTTGGGTAGAGGGGTTTGGTCTACTAATGATTTACAATCATTGAGAAATTCCTCAATTGAAGGAGGAAGAGGTCAAGATCTCAAGGAATTCCAACAGAGGTTGGGATTTGGTGAGGTGGGTTCCTTGGCAGGCCCCTGCAAGGAATTAGGCAAATTTTAACTGGATGGTTAGTTTTAATTCTTGGCTGTGCCTAGGGAGACGCATCACAAGCAGAAATCATGAAGTGCGTGACAGGCAGGGGACAGGGAAATCCCTTGTAATCTTGAAGAGCAGCATCACCTGCACAACTTTTTTGTTGGAACAGATGTGTGTAGTAGTGTTTAACAACTGGCAGGAGACGTCAATGGGTCTCTAGCCCATGAGATAGGATTTTGCACTTCAGGATGGTTGAAATGTTTGTCACCTGGATACTTCATCTATGAGGTATCAAGGTGATGTGGGATGCTATGGCACTGGGAGTCAGTCATTTCATCTAAGCTGGAACAAACACGGAAATATTGGTATTTTTCAGCATCAGGCTTGAGAAAACCGCAAAGCTATGGTGTATGTCAGGATTAGAGTGCTTGTGATCAGGTGCATCCTGTTCGCCTAGGAGAGGTGCTTTGGCAGGAGTGTGGTGATCAAGTTTTTTTTGCTAAAGTCCGACCTTTTGGCAAAGTAGACCTGAGTGTGTCACCAAAACGTACGCGCGTACGTTTTGGTGACAAGATTGCATTTGGTCTGAGATGAGGTGAAGATGAGTGAGGGTGGTGAGTGCATCAAATTTTGCCCTTGCTGTTCTCAGACTTAAATGAAGACCATTCAGCCAGTGAGATTCTGTTTGGGTCCTTCTTGGACAAAGGATGTTCCTAACATCATGTCAGCAATTCCTTTGTGCATCGTTTGGCCCAATTACATAATTGATACCAGGAGAACAAAGCACACAACATAAACATGATTCGCTTTGTGCCTTCCCCACTGTAAATAATCTGTGGTTTGCATGATTTTTAGGCTCTGCGTACCACCCAAACAAGATCAGCCAAATATGCAAGCAAGAGCCATTGTTGATGACAGCTGGTCCCCTTTGAAGTCCACAGTTGCATGCAGGAGAAATTTATGAATTGAAATGTAATGCACACCGGTGGTAGTATGTTTGGGTAGGTCATGGGCCTAATTACTGTAAATCTGCTTCCTTTCACAAAATCCAGTGAAGGGGAAAACACAGCGAGTTGAATTTCAGGTGATTGAAACCGCTTGTCAAGTGGTAAACATCCTTCAGAGCTATCTTAAAAGGCACCTAAGAAACATGATGATATCTGTCCCCTCTTCTCAAACTGCCTCCATATACTCTGAAAATCAGTTCATCTTCATTGTTTGATTAGTTTAGCCTTGAGCAAATCCTTTGCAATGTTTGAGATATCAGGAAACCTTCACATGTCTCTAGCTCAAATCTCATCAATTCACGGCTTGCCAGATAATACTATACATCTCACCAGTGTGATTAGTTCCCCAGATATTGCACAGCACACACCACAACATGAACTCTCAAAATTCCACATCATTCTCCAGTCATATAGCCCAGAACCTCCCTCTTGGATTTATGAGCCGTTGACTGAGATCTTCTTTACTGGACATCTTGGGGCTAGTACGGTTGGAAGTTACCCGCGGATTGTGGTTGGAGCCGGAAAGTGGGTGTTGCACCGAGGCCAACACTTTGAGCTGGTTGAACAATTTCACAAGGCTGGAGTATGGGGATCCGGTTATGTAGTGAGCGCCAACTATAATCGGACTTCACCCCTGCGAAGCTATTTGACTGTTTTCGATCCATCACCAAAGCAGGTAAGTAGTACAATTTGATCATAGTGATTTATTAAATAAAATATTGTACTAACCCTGCCCTGGCTTCATTGAATTGGAAAATTCAGGGGGGCCGCATTCAACTTCTTGCCTGGGACTCCGATATTGTGAAAAAGATGAGTTGTCTTAAACGTGGGGACTGGATCACGTCTGGCGGGAAGGCTGGTATTGACTCATTCAAGGACACTCACATTGTGGAATCAACTGTAAGTCTTTAGCTGCACCAATCACTTGTGCTGCTAGGAACTATGTAGTTGATTGTGACCCTTGTTCCTTGAAAAGGTCTCTCGCCTAGAACTCCTAGGACGGTCCGAATCAACCCGATATTACCTCAGATCTGATCCAAAGAAAATCCACCAGTTGACTGTAGATGATTGGGCGCCTGAGAAGTTATGGAAGAAGAGGGGACGCAAGATCCGATTGTCCAAGTCCATCTGGAAAAAGTATTAAATAAATGTTGCACACATGATTGTCCTTTTTCTCCTTGTTTCTTGTCAATGCAGAAACAAAAAACCTGCTCCATCTGGGGTTGCTCCCTTCTTGATCTCCAACCCATCATCTAGTTTGTTTATTTGATGTTTTGGTCTTGGGGCGTATTTATCTAAAAAAAATCCTCATTTGTGTCTCATTCACATTCTCATTAAACATCTAGTATTGTTGGAACTTGTCAAAGGATGAATTACTATTCCTGTGGTTTTAGACAGTCTTCATATTCTTGCAGTAGAAATTAAGGTTGATAGAGGCTATATTTTACAAAGTCTGGTTTGGGACACAGGAGGAATAAAGTTTTTGCTAGCTAGAGTCATTTTTTGAATTTCAAATTAAAGGAGTGACCACTGTAGCTTCAAGTTATCTGGTTGTAGGTAAATGAGAACATGGGTCACACGTTCTCATTACATCCAGGTAGATTTTAAACTGAATATACCTTCCTTCCACTTCCACATCTCCGGGGGTCCTGATGCAGAAGAATTAGAACAGGGATGTGTGAGGTGGTTATATCATGTCAGAGGTTTGTGTCTAACTCTTTGTAGTCTTAATTCAATCAACCTGCTCTAGGATTTTCTGGGATGGGGGCACGTGAAAAAACTGAATAAGCACACGTATAGGTGATTCTAAAAATTTGAAACCTTTATGAGGAGGCAATCCAGTCCATCAGGGCCATCGGGGAAGGTTTTATTTTAGGTTATAGGAGCAAGCTGAAAAAGTATGATATCTATGTGTAAGTGAATCTATTAAGAGCGGGAAAACGTATTGGTTACTGACTAGGATTCCCTGGAGGACAAGATCTTTTTGCAACCAAGAAGGGAATCTACACTTCATTAACAAAGCACAGAAAGCTTAACTTTGGTCTTCTTATGATCCACCAGCGTGTGTGGCCAATATAAGAACAAGACTGTTTACCTTTGTACCAAGACTTGGGGGAAAGACTAGCCTCATAAGACCCACCAAGGCGTTGACAGAGAACAGAGACAAGCTGACCAGTGAGGTGCTACAATTTGGGAGTAATCATTTTTTTACCGAGAAACTCTTGATAAAAAATTCTTAATAACAACCTTGATTTTTAGGGACATATCTTTCCATTGAATCTAGAACACTAAATTTGAACAGCAAATGAATCAGACAAATTTTTTTAGACACACTCAACATTTGGCAGGCTAAGAAGGATAGGTAAGGTGTTTTGGGACGGTATAAGGTTGAGCACAAAAGGGAGAGCATAGGGAAAATGAGAAGGTAAAGTTGGAAAGCGTGAAAGGGACACGCAGTTATGTGTTACAAGGGAGCTAATTGAAAACACATGTTATTTTTCAGTAATTTGGTGGGGTGAGTGGGGAATAAGAAATGGAGATGAGGGTTGCTGAGTCCTCCAATGGGTGAGAAAATCAATTGTAATCGCCTGTGCTATCTCATGTGGATCTGGCCTTTTTTGAAGGGGGACTATTTTGCCAGGTGATTGGAACGCTGGTTGGAATATTTCAACAATGTATGCAGAGAGATTTTTCCAAATGGGTTCCTCCGGGGTTCGGTTTACTTTTGAGCACCGAGTGATCACTTCCATGGCCTGGATAAACGACATGCATTCGGATACTGGAGATGTACGGTGATTCCTGGAACACACAAAGAGGCCTCGAACACCGCCAATAAGGAAGTATGTAAGGGGCTGGAAGTTATGTCGGGACTGGATTGACTTCAGTTGCTTGCTGGAGGTAGAGGTTGTCGCAACGGCTCCTCCGGTTTTTTTTTGAGTAATAGCAGAGGCAGAATTTTCCTGGGGAGCTGAAGGTTGCTGGGCTCGGGCTTGCTTCTTGATTTGGCTGTTTGTCAAGGGAGGCGGGCTGAGAGCGTGAACCTGGAATATTATGTAGCCCATGAAAACATCGATTATGACCTTTGAGAAGTCTTTCAAAACATCAATAGCATGAGATCGCAGGACAACTTCCCCTTCAGGGGCAGCGGAGGTCGGTTGGGTCTCTCCAGGTGTTTCAAAAGTTGAGAGTGAGTTCTTCAGTCCCTCAAGCCATTGAAGAACTTGAAGCCCTTGGTTGATTGGGTCGTCATCAGTATCTGGGGTTGGAGGAGGTGGGCTGTAGAGCTTGAACGCCATGACCTCAACAGAAGCTGCGAAAATTTTTGCCCATTCAGAGATGACCGCAGGGGGTGGACTTTGAAGTCGGTGGAGGAAGCGGATGATGGTGGACTCGGGATGTTTAGTTTTGGTGGTTGGAGAGATGAATTGATGGGAGGATCCAGACTTTTCCAATTGGGAATACAACACAATCAGGGGGAAATCGATGACATCAGGGCAGTTCCATTGGTCATTTGGCGATGGAGCTAAGAAGTTGTCGGCTGAGGGAAGATAGGTCATTTGTTCAGTATGGTAGGTCAAGTGGGAACAACAAAAAACACGGTTCAACTAACCAAGGGAGCTAATAGTTTTGATCCAAGAAGTATATGAACAGGTTGTCCTTTCAAAGTGAAAATCGAGATTGTGTGGTCCTGGGTTCTGGAGAGATTGGGCTCGGAATTGGGCCAGGTTTGAGAGGGAAGTCCACGTAGTTTGGTACCTCTCCCAGTTGGGCTTCACACCATCAACATGCTGATAGATCTTGATGACTGAAATTCTTGCATCGCTTGACTTGAGGATCGTGAGATTTGTGAGTGGGTCTGTTGATGCTCGGGGTTGACTGGTTGAATCATTTGGGGGTGGGGGAGGCACAGAAGAGGTAGTTGTGGTTCCGTTGTTTTGGTTGTTCGGAACTTGGGGGTTGGCAGATGAGCCTTCGGGCTGATTTTCTGAGGACTGATGATCTTCTTCTGGAGGTTGACCTGGGTACATAGAAAAGGTTTTCAGTCTCGAGCAGGCTGTAGGCAACATTTCCTTGACAAAGTCCACATTGAGAATGATAGTGCAAGCAATCAACATACCGTGATTTTCATCAGCAGGGCTGATGTCTTGAGTGATTTGAACACCTTGAGGCAACTGGGTGCTTGGAGAGTCTACCGGTTTGAACACTTCACCAGGAGAGATTGTCTGTGAGATTTCGTCAAAGGTTGTCTCGGCAGGGGCGACTGCAGGAGTAGTTGGTGTGATTGCCGATACAGGGGTGGATAGTGAGGAAGTGGTAGGGATTGCTGGAGCATTGGAACTATCAACATTTGCTGGAGCACTCGGGCTGGCAGAACTGGCAGAGATGGGTCTGTTGGTCAAGAGGGAGGCTGGATTGACAGAGGGGGAATCCTTCTTTCGCTTGACTGGTCTTCTTGTGGATGTTGATGCTGAGGCTGTAGTATGCAAGGAAGGACGAGGTGCCTGGGCATGATTGATCTGGATGCCCTCATCGTCAGGTATTTCTCCAGTCTGCTGAAAAGCTGTGGTTATGCAAAAAATCAGATTTTTGAAGGAAAAGTAATCTGAGGATCGGTGTGGAACATACTTATTTTTGAGCTCTTGATGTCATGAGCACATTCATCAATCTTTCTCTTCAGGCTCTTTGGGAGCTTCAGTTTGATCAAGCCAAGTATGGTTGTTTCTGCTGTGGTGATATTACGATGGAATTCTTCAGCTGTGATCTGCTGGATCTCGCTATCAAGGATTGATTGGTTGGGGTTGAGTTGCTCGGGAATAGTAGTAAGCTCTGTCGACATTGAAAACTCTTCAAAAGTTGGGGCTGTCAACAGCTGACCAGGGAAGTTCTCCGCCAAAACCTGTGAACCTATCAAATTGAATTGGTCAGTAAGATTGATCTGATGAACAAGGAGTGTGAAAAACTATAAGTCATTACTTGGTGAAGGTGTAGGAGGATCCTCTGGAGAAGCATCTTGTTGAGAGGGTAAGCTGCTCGGGTTGACTGAGTTTGGGGTCTCAGAATTCATTGAGTTGGTGTGTTGGAATTTAATTTGTGGAGATTGGGATAATGGATGGAGGCAATTAAATAAATATTGTGATGTGAGGGAAATTGATTGGATGGGGGGAAGTGAGTAAAAAGTTGGGAAGAGTGCCTTCTTTTATGCTACAATTGAGAACCGCACACCGGTCAATAAAGTGGGTGTGTTCACCCACAATCTACCCATTGATTGTATCAGCTGTGTACTTTCGTCTAACAAAGAATTTGCTAGGTTAAGGCTCAACGTTGTAGACAAAGGAACACATCATCAACTTTCAGTGTTGATCCTTTTAAAGTTACACAGCTGATGTCATAAGGATAGATACTGTGTCTTAGTTTGAAGGCTTGGAGGCACATGACATTCCTTGGTCACATTCCAATCCCAGGTTGCTACAGTGCATTCCTCAAGGCAACAGTGTATATCTTGTGTCTCTTGCACATTTCTGTTGAGCTGACCGCGGTGCCCGCCTGGGAAAATCTTGCCTCAATGTGGTCACAACAGCAGATGAACAGTGGCGTAACCGTGTTTTTTTCACCACTTAAGCGACACTTCATCTGCAGTTAAGTTGGCCTTAGACTGATGTTTGTTAGTAGTTTGCACTTATTGGTGACAAATTACTGCCAGAGGCACCTGTGAAAATCAAACTTTGTTGTGTACCTTGTGTCACCAAAACGTACGCGCGTACATTTTGGTGACATTGCTTCGGCAGGGCACAACCCCAAAATCACCCCAAACACTGATCCACACTCACCAACCAAGTCCATAAGCCTGTGACCAATCAGGCATAGACACTTAAACAGCCAAGATACAGGCTAAGGGGGAAATTCAGAAACAAAAAATAGATTTGAGGCACTTTCCCGGTATCCAACAAAACAAACAAACAACACTATGTACTATGTTGCCTGATACACCATGGATTTTCTAATTTAATCAACATTCATTGGCCGACTGGGTCCAGCGTCACTGCCCGCTGCTTCGTGAGGCTGCAATCGTTTCTGACCCCAGGTTGATGCGCTTGTGTTTGATGGACCGCTAGGCTGAGTGTTACTACCTTTGCGGCAAAGTCCAGCCAAGACTTCATCAATATCTGAGATTTTGATTGCCGGAGTCTTTGAGAGAGTGTCCTGCTCAAATTTACTAAGACCTTTCCAAAAAGCTTGATCATAGCAATCTATCGGCCAATCCCGTGAAACCCCAATAGCTCCGCCAACCGTCTTTGCATGGTTCCGTGCCGAACGTGCGTACATCTTCTTGTTTGTCTTGATTGTTTTGTGATGTGTGGCTTGTGCTTGGACCATTCGATCGAGATTGTGGAGTATTTTGGTAAGAGAGACACTCCTCCAAGGCGGAAACAGACTAACAGGGTTATTTCCGCCTGATCCTTCTTCAATGTCGGAGTGGCAGTCGTTGTCCTCGAGTACAACAGCCAGTTGAGGAATATCACGAAAGACCTTATCAGCCATTGAATACCGCTGCTCCTTGATCTGTTCCCCCAGAAAAATATCAGCCTCTGTGATTTATAGGAAAACCTACAATCATTTGATTAGGTGGAATTAGACTTACTTTCTTCCGCCAGCTCTGCAAAAGAGCTTTTGTTGCCTTTTGCGACTTCAAAGTAGTATAATCCTCCTTATTCATGCCTCCGTATTGTTGAATCTCTCGTGATTTAGTTTCAAGCCACCGTTTAATGATTGCAGCCGCATGTCTGGCCTCCTCCTCATTTATCTTTATTGACCGCCCAAGCCATTCCACTGATTTCTTTCCCATCACCTCAATCACAGCAGAGTTCCAAATCGAATCCTCATCATGGGGAACGTTCCACTCAAACGTAAATCTGGAGATTCCGGCCAAGGCAAGTGCTCTCTCCACATCCGCCTTTGTTTGGGTACTGATTGGCCTTCCTCCGCTGAGAACACCTTTCCTGGGAGCCGGGTGGAATGTAGGCAGAGGGATATTCTTACGTATTTCCTTCTCTGCCTGTGCTAAGAAGAAATCTTGTTCTGCAGTAGATCTTGCAGAGAGACTGGAACGCAACCGTTCAAGTTGTTCAATGATGATTGTTGATCGTCGGTCGACCCAATATAGAGCCTCTAGTTCTTCCGAGGTTGGTGATGGGGGATAGTCATGCGGTATCGTAGGTCCTCCCAGGAAAAACTTAATAAAGTGTTGGATCCCACGAGAATACTTGTCGCAATGCTCATTGAGAGTTGCCTTCTTGGCAATTCCGCGGGCCCGGCGCTCCTCATGAATCCGATTCCCTTGTTCCTCCACACTAGCTCTTGCCCCTCTGGCATGCTCAATGACAATATCCGGATCTAATCTTGATCGGTCAGTCATCCCATCAGTGTTGAGCGTTCCTGAAGGCTGTGAGTCTGGAAGATGAAAGCCCCGAAATGTACAAGATCAGTTTATTGTCAGTAATGACTAAAGTTTTAAGAGCATTACTCACCCATGGTAGCAGTATTCCCAGCAGATGTATTGCGGTTACCTGCACCAGGGAGGTTAGGAATGATCTTGTCGATTATTGTAGATATCCAGCTGTGTTCGCGTTCTCCATCTCCTCCGCCCGGTGTTCCACTCTGTCCGCCCTGTTCACCTCCACCAAGACTAGTACTTTGACCGGCCTGCCCCGTAGGCTCCACATCTGGAGGCTCAGGATTCATCTTAGAAATCAAACTAAGGGCTAGTTTCTGGGTGATGTATTTGTAAGGAATTGGAATTAATTATATTTGAAGGAGAATATATCTTAATCGAGGATGGAGAGAATCAATTTCAGAGTGATTGGAAAACAGGGGAGCAGGAGGCTTGATCTTGGGTTAACTACAACTTAAGTGTACTATATACACAACCAAATTTTGCTGCCGTGATGAAGACAGGAAAAACAAGCACCAAAAAGTCGTAAAATCAAAGGGGAATCTTCTCATGTACACCGTTTCAACCATGAACAAATAAGAAGAAACATGATATGCATTGATCTCACGTATCAAGCCCTTCCCATCCCTGGAAAAACAACATGTCAGCAAAGGGCTACAGAGCAAATCACAAGGGGATAACTCACCATTGTTCCCAATCCAACAGCTGTAACAGTCTTACTTCCGATTCCAAATGTTCCCTCTGGGTTCTTCAGGACCGCCACATGTCCAATAATTTTTTCCTGCTCCACAATAAACGGAACTTCAAACTCATCTCGAACCAGTCTGCAGTTCAGGTCAGGGTATTCGTTGTAAGGATCTTCACTCTTGTCAAGTTCTTTGAAAGGATTGACAATTATCCATGTTCTTCCGGGTGTTTGGTCGGAGCGGAAAATATTTTTGATGGTACCAAATCTTTGGTCTGTACCAAATAAAAACTCAATATAAGAATTTCCAAGATGGTGATTTGCTGTGCTGAAGTTCTTCCCTTTGATTGTTATTGTCATCAGAGTTGGCACCGTTGAATCAAGCTCAATTGGATTTTCACCAAGCCTTCCTCTGGATGTTTCTTTCCCGGCGATAGCTTGCTTCCAATTTTTTATCATTTGTGTATCGAGATGCAAGTTGGCCTTGACCTTCTGTGGAACCGTGGTGCCTTTCAATTGGTCTTTCTTTTCTTCTGCCCCGCGGATAGTCAGTTGGAGTGTGGAATTTATGTGCCACTTCTTCAATAGTGTTTTTGGTATCTCCACTGATCTCAAGACGTAGACCTTATCAGCTCAACATCCTCCAAATATAAATTAGATAAACAGAACAACTAACCTGGGTGGTGATTTGTTGGTAACTTTTGTAGCATCCCATTAACCCGCTCTTGAGCCCATGCTGCTGTAGATCTAGGTGGACCAAAGTTCCGGATGACGTTAGAATAGTGCTGTGTCAGATGTAGATTTGGCATCAATGATTCGTGCGGCCACCCTTCATGGAGACATCTTCTGTATTTCACTATCAAGTCATCAAGTTCCGGTAAATCTTTGGGGTGGATCTTTGGCAATGTGAGGAAATGAGAAATCCTTGAAAGAAGAGTTGTAGATTCTAGCAATGCAGAAACCCGCTCCTTTTCTTCTTCTGTTGCACACTCGGTGTAGGCTTTCTTCCAGACAGGAATTAATGCAATCGTGTAGTAAACTTTGTAGAGAATGAGCCACTCAGCAGCCTTGAGGGAGCCATGACTTGCAGCTCCCAAATTATGGGGAACCCTGTCAATCCACGATGGGATTGTGGTATGAATCAGTGTTCTCCGGACCACCTCAAGCTCACCAGGCCTCAATCGATGTGAGATACCCCCCTCCTTTCCCAGTGGTGTCAAAGACTTTTCTCTCCTGGGTCCCCTCTCAGTGCAATCACTATGACGTTCATCTTCTGAGTGTTCAGTATCTGGAGTATCGTCATATTCATTGTAAACTGTTTGCTTGCGAACACGCAAATTGTAAGAGTGGCTTCCTTGTGTCGTGTGAGAGCTTTGTTCGGAGGAGGCTTGAGACTCAGATCTAGAGTCAGCTTGATGTTCACGTTCTTTCCCTTTTACGGAAGGCACTGCTTGTGAATTTCTCCCTCTCTTGCGTGGTCTGAGTTTTGCAGTTGAATCATCAGGCTCTTCACTGCGCTTCCGCTTGCCCGTCTTCTTTGGTCCAGTTGGAAACAAGTCAGTGAATGGAAGGGACGTAAAGTGATCATCAAGCTGCCATTCTTCCTCCTTCTGTTGAGTTTTCATTAGCTGTTTTGCGGCCGAGGGTAAGTACAGGAACCGCATGCTGTGATCTTTCAAGTTACCAAGAATCAGTGCATGCA